TTAAACTGTGTATAACAGTGACTGTTGCTATGATTTTGATTAACAAAGTTTTAAACCAACTTATAAACATTAAAGAACACCACTTAGGTTGGTTAGATCGATGCCATCCACCTGCGGAACAATGTTTTTTTATGAAGTAAAGCATGACTTGATCTGGGTACCACACACATGCACGAAACCCTTTCTATTTTTTTGATGAATATAAAAATGGTTTCAAAGAAATGTTTCAAACCATCCATATAAGGAAAATGTCAACAAAACCAACAAATTGAAATTGATAAAAAAAAAGCTTTTCAAAAAGCAATACGAGAACAAGCTAATGGTGTACTACAGGGGACTAGTACCACCAAAACCTAAGTGGTGAACAAGCTAATGGTGTACTACGGGGGACTAGTACCACCAAAACCTAAGTGGTGAACAAGCTAATGGTGTACTACGGGGGACTAGTACCACCAAAACCTAAGTGGTGAACAAGCTAATGATGTACTACAGGGGACTAGTACCAGTATATCTATGATGATTTCAGGGGAGTAAGAACGTGCTGGATGGAGATCATCTTATTTAACCAATCAGTGAAAGAGTTACAAATGAAGTAAAACTGAGATTAATTAAAGCAGAAGATAGCAAGTTGTGTTGATTATATTGAATATACTTGTAATGTATAATTAGTAGTAAGTATTTCCTGGACTATAATGAATAGTTATTAAACTGTGGCTAATACTAAACCATTTTGTTATTGAACAACTGCAATAGCTTAGCTATTATAAAAAAAAAGTAATATATATATATATAATGTTACGTAGAAAAAGAATAACTGAACATTTTATGTTTTTAATGTTATAGTAATATCTCTCGTTGAAATTATGCAATATTTGTTACAAAGTAACTGATTTGTTTTTTGGTACTGTAAGTACGAGAAACATGATTTAGTATATATATGGCAATGTTTAACCTTTCCTGTGCCGTGTTTAACAATTATCTTGGAGGTTTGAGACTTGTTGTTTAAACTTTTAACTGTTAGCTTTCAGAAGTCACGAGTAAGGTCAGTAGTTTACATAATGCTGTTTGTTTCGGTCAACTCAGACTTGTTTGTTAGTGATTTTGAAGTCAGGTGATAAACAGGAATTGTCCAAGAGTCAGATACAGGGTTTAAGATTCTAAGATACACATTCAGGTTCTTGTGTGTAGTTTTATTTTTGTCCACGTACTTGGAGTTGTTTTCAGATATGTTTTTATGCCTCCTAGTCTTACATTCTTACTGTCTTCAAATGAGGTTTTTATTTTCAAGACTCAGGTTGTCACACTCAAATGAACGGACAGATATAATTGTTCAGAACAAGTTATGAAACTGTTTGAACAGTGAATTATTATTTCAGTTCTTTGTATTTATTTCAATTTCCACGATATACATGTCCTTGTGACTTCATATGAGTTTTCAACAGCACATGAATTTGTTAATTTGGACTTTTCTTTGTGTAATTGGCCTAGGTTGAATCTAGTGATTAGCAAGTTAATCTGAGGGGGTCCACATCCAGTGATTAGCATGTTAATCTGAGGGGGTCCACAATTCACATCCTCTTACATGTTAATCTGAGGGGGTCCACATCCAGTGATTAGCATGTTAATCTGAGAGACAATCAAATTCAATTATCTGATTAAAGTAGCTCAAGAGTTGGTTGGGTTCACCAGCTGCCTTCTTTCTAGTCCTTCAGTTCAATAGTTAAGGATGAATATATATATATATAGATAGCCCTTGATTAGCTTTATGTAAATATCTGAAAAACAAGCAGAGCATCATTGTGGAATTATGTCAACAATCTGAATTTCTACCTACTTGTTCTGTAATTTAGATTTTTTTACAGATATTTAAAAAAAAACATGATATTTTATTTCAACCAAATACAATTTTTCATTCAGAAAGAAAACTGAAACAGTCCAGTGCATATTTTCAGTAATGTTTAGTGCTTTAAGCTTTTTTCTACTGCTGTTACTTACGAAGGCCAGTACTGAAATTTTTTGTACTAGTTTTTTCAGGAACAAAATTCACTGAATATCAAACTGATATTCTGAATTAAGGTGGTTTAAATATTTTGTAACAATTCGTATCATCTGATCCATATTTTACACCAACTTTTGATGCCATGTTCTTCTGTGTATAAAGAAAGTACACGAAGTAGATAAAAGAAGTTGAAAACATACATGGATTACTTCAGAAGATATTAATGAAAGCTATGTAATGACCTTTTATACAATTCATGGTTAAGGCATAGCCTTCAAACGTGTTTGGAATTCTGTAATTAATGGAATTGAAGAGGATTTTTACCCAGGTTTTTTTAATATAAAAAACTCCACTGAGTTAGTATGTGTCGGACATATTTATGTTTAGAAATACTTTACTTGCCACTTCATTGCAGAGGTAGCGTTAGTCATTTATCTAAATTGTGGCACACACACACCCTTCTCCGTTTGTATCATCAGCAAATGGTGTTATACGTTTAAAAGGTAAA